GAAGAAAATTAGACAATTAAAATTTATTCCTTAGGTTTGTCTTCCATTCTTTTTTTATTTTATTAATCTTTTTGCTGTTGGCTGGTGGGTAGAAATGAGTTAGGACATTATGATGAAGTAGCATTTAGCAATAATATATATGATACTATACAACATTATTTAAATGCATCATGTATTTATAGAAGAAAATTAGACAATTAAAATTTATTCCTTAGGTTTGTCTTCCATTCTTTTTTTATTTTATTAATCTTTTTGCTGTTGGCTGGTGGGTAGAAATGAGTTAGGACATTATGATGAAGTAGCATTTAGCAATAACATTGCACATATTAGGTGAAGTAAATAAAATGGAGCATAGTTGTTTGAAAGTATGCAATAGAGTATATTGACAAAACAGATAAAGCAACTGTAATCAACCATAAATGCTTATTTTTCTTGTAAGTATATTAGTAAATTGATAGCACCAGTTCCTACAAAATGCAAGTGATTCAAGATAATGTTATGGATTCAAAAGATCATATTGTGCTGCTATAATCTTTAATAATTTAGCAACACTTTCAAAGGCTTGTCTTTTCTTTTATTCTAATGCTTCATGGCAAAATTCTACACTTGTAAGAGAAAGCTGGAAATGTAGGAATTTTTTAGGCATACTGTACATAATTGTATATGGATTCAGGGAGAACTTTAAAGCATATAAACGTAGTTGAGGGATCTGCAATAAGAGAGGTGAAGAAATGTCATCATCTTCAGTTATTTATTACTTCTGTTTGGTGGTGTAGTAAATGCATGAAGGAAAGAAAGAAATTCAGTTGCTTTGTTATATTAACAGCCAAAGGTACATCTAAAATTGGGTTGCAATAGCCCACAGCTGAATTGCTTTTCATTTTAGATTCAGTACAGTGTGTGTTGACTAAAGATACGAAGGAGATCAGGTTTTAGAGTTGTAATTGACTCCAACGACCATAGGCTAAAAAACAAAACAGAAATGCTTTCTATTGTCTTGGTGAAAAATAATCTAGAATGGAGAACATTTTGAACTATGAATTATGCTTCTGTTTTCTATTTTGATAAATAGAATAGAATAGAGCACAGTTGGAAGGGACCTTGGAGGTCTTCTATTCCAACCCTCCTGTCTAGGCAGAAAACCCTACACCACTTCAGACACATGGTTATCCAACATCTTCTTAAAGACTTCCAGCATTGGGGCATTCACAACTTCTGGAGGCAAGTTGTTCCACTGATTAATTGTTCTAACTGTCAGGAAATTTCTCCTCAGTTCTAAGTTGCTTCTCTCCTTGATTAGTTTCCACCCATTGTTTCTTGTCCTACCCTCAGGTGCTTTGGAGAATAGTTTGATTGCTTCTTGTTTGGGGCAGCCCCTCAAATATTGGAAGGCTGCTATCATGTCTCCCCTAGTCCTTCTTTTCATAAGACTAGCCATACACAATTCCTGCAACCGTTCCTCATATGTTTTAGCCTCCAGTCCCCTAATCATCTTTGTTCCTCTTCTCTGCACTCTTTCTAATTTGTCCCAGATTTTGTGATGTTCCGTCTCACCCTTGTCTTTAACCTCTAGAGTCAGTCTGTCCATCTTTGCACACGTCAGTATCTTCTTTATTATTTCTTGTTCCGAGAGAGTCTCTTTATTTTTCCATTTTTGTCCAAAAACCAGTCTTGCCGCCATTAAAGTATGTAGCATTAAATATAGTCCACCTCTGTTTTTCTTTTGTGATCCCTGGTAAAAATGATTCTGGCCTCAACTCCATCCTTCCATTTTGCCCTTTTTGACCTCCCTCCCATGAAGTATTGACCATTGCGCAGCCCGCTTTCTAGAGAATCTAGTTTCCTAACCATTTTCATTGTTTCCAAACACAGAAAACCCTGAGGAAACGCAGCAGAACTGCTTACTTGAATATTAGATTCATTGTAAAAAGGTTCGCATTTTCTTGAATTGTCTGGAATTAGAAACCGGCGTGGAAAGGTAACACAGGGAGATCAAACTTGTTTCAATACAGATAGAGAGACATACAGAATACACACACACACACACACACCAGGCAAGCATAAAATTATGATAATCACGACATTTTAAAAAAAATTGAATCATATCAATTGTTCTAATTGTTTAACCCATTTCTAAGTGACAGGGCTTTTCTTCCGATCTAAGGAATTAATTTTTTTCAGCATCCAGCCCCCTCACATTATTTTGCCAGCAATTTTTTTTTTAAAAAAGCCATAAATTCATTTCCTCAGTGATGAATATATTCATGTTGAAGGCAGATATCCACAATCTAATTTTTATGATGATTCAACCAGATTCAGACAAGAAGGAGGTGGGTTTTTTTTCTTGAGAACAGAAAACAAATGATTTATTTTCTCCACTGGGGTGGCAGTGGGGTTGAAGTAGAAATCAATGCTTATATCTATATAGTTTCTCTCCCCCCCCCTCCTTTTTTAAAGTGCCTTCTGTCTTCAGAAAAATTCCACCTATGAAAAAGACTTTAACGGAATAGCAGAGTTGGAAGGGACCTTGGAGGTCTTCTAGTCCAACCCCCTGCCTAGGCAGGAAACCCTATACTGTTTCAGACAANTGCTAACATAATGAGACTCCAAAATCACAAGGTTATTCAACCATTTATTTATTCTGTTGTGTTTCTATTGATGTCACCCTGTTTGTTCTAATCAAACATAATCTCACTTGCCACGAATTACAAGAAGCAAAGAATATGATATAGATCGGTGAAATTCAGAATTTAGGGCAAAGCGTCCGTAGGTACACAGGCAGTCCTTGACTTACAAACACAATCGAGCCCAACATTTATGTTGTTAAGCTGTTAAGTGAGTTTTGCCCCATTTTAATGACCTTTCTCGCCACAGTTATTAAGAGAATCATTGCAGTGGTTGAGTGAGCAACGTGGCTGTTAAATGAATCTGGCTTTGTTCAGAAGGTGGCAACAGGGGATCACGTGACCCTGGGACCGTCATAAATATGAGTCAGTTGCCGAATGGCTGAATTTTGATCACATGACCAAGGGATGCTGCAATGGTTATGAGTATGAAAAAACGATCACTTTTTTTTCAGTGATGTTGTTGTATGGCCACTAAATGAATTGTTGTAAGTCGAGGATTACACTTTCTTTTAAAGGTGAATGACCCAATAGCAGTTGCCTTCTTTAGGTTTTGTTTCTGCTGCTATGACGCCATTTTGCTTTTTTTTTAAAAAGGTTTTTTATTAGATAAACACTAAAAACATTGGACATAGTGCGACATTTCTGGCATAAGCGTTTCCATATAGTGTTTGGATCTTACAACAATTACATTTTATATCCATTACACAGGTGTAGTGTAGTCAGTCAGATTACCTCTCCATTAAATAGCAATTATAAGAATGTAGTATCTATGAATGAATTTGAAAGGGAAAAATAAAAAACCGTTACCAAAAAAAAAAAAAATTACCTCTCCATTGATCCTTTTTTTATATATAATTACTAACCATACAAATACATGTATCCAATTCCTACCTACCATACGTTCTTAATACCATATTATCCAATTCTTAACTTATCCGTGTTCTTCCGTCCCAGCCTTTCCCCCCTGATTTCTAACCATCGGTATTCATTTGCAATACAATACAATACCAGAGCTGGAAGGGACCTTGGNTGCTTCCATATCAATATACTTAACATATCCTAGTTTTAAAGAAAAAGTCTCTTCTTAAAAGCCTCCAGTGATGAAGCTCCCACAACTTCTGGTGGCAAGCTGTTCCACTGGTTAATTGTTCTCTCTGTTAGGGAGTTTCTCCTTAATTCCAGATTGCTTCTCTCCTTGATTACTTTCCATCCATTGTTTCTTATATTGCTCTGTGGCACTTTTGAAAATAAGTTGACCTCCTCTTCTTTGGGGCAGCTCCTCAAATACTGGAATACTGCTATCATGTCTCCCCTAGTCCTTCTTTTTTCCAGACTAAGCCATAGAGAATTCCTGCAGCCATTCTAGTTGCATTTTTTCCAAAGTGACATCTTTTTTTTTAATGTGATGACTAATTAAAGATCCAGCAATGAGTTAAATATTAATTTAATCCGCCCAATTAATGATGCAGCAGGCTGTTCCAAGTAAGAACGGTGGTTATTTTTAGGGAAGGTCAGATCTCAACGAACTTCAAAGTATTCTCTAAAGACTGTAGGATTTGTACTCTTAAGACTGAATACCAAGGAGGAAGTTTACATTTATTTTTGGCCTTCAGAAAGTGGGATGGGGAGCAATTCTTAAAATGGGCATGTTGTGCAATTGTTCAGTTTATTTTTCATCCTTCCTTCCTGGACAACATGTGTGAGATGCTTGGTGCAGCCACATGCTCACATGTTTACCTGTGTGATGCATGCAAAGGATTTTGAACCCTGCATGCAAAGGATTTTGACTCTGCAACTAACTGATTTCGACTCTCTTTCTAAATGCACTAACAGGGATGCAGTGGCTCAGTGGCTAAGACGCTGAGCTTGTCGATCAGAAAGGTCAGCAGTTCGGCGGATCAAAACCCTAGTGACGCGTAACGGAGTGAGCTCCCGTGACTTGTCCCAGCTTCTGCCAACCTAACAGCTCAAAAGCATGTAAAAATGCAAGTAGAAAAATAGGGACCACCTTTGGTGGGAAGGTAACAGCGGTCCGTGCGTCTTTGGAATTTAGTCATGCCAGCCACATGACCACGGAGACGTCTTTGGACAGCGCTGGCTCTTCGGCTTTGAAATAGAGATGAGCCCCCTAGAGGCGAGAATGACTAGCACATATGTGCGAGCGGAACCTTTACCTTCACTTATGCCCGTTAGGTTTACCTTTTACTAGATGCACCTACTTAGGAATTGTAGAAAAACATGAAGATGGATGGGTGCAACCACACAATCAAAAGGGGGTGAGGCTTCGGTCCACCTTGACATTTTTGAATCCACCTGCCCACCCCTCTTAATCTGATTCCTCCACCCAGGAAAACCAACCACAGATCAACGTACCTCTTCGTCGAGAATCGGTTCACACTGCGTGTAATTAACTTTGAAAGCCCACGTCCCATTTTCCATGCATTCTCGATACGCATTTCCTAAGGGGAGGAAAGAGACACCAACAGAAACATTGAGCCAAACTTCCAAACAAAAGCATTAACACAACTCTGTCTTAAAAAAAAAAAGGATAAAAGTCCGAAATATGGAAATCAGCCCTGACTTCACAGCAGTGGTGGGTTTCAAATTTTTTTAGAACCTCTTCTGTAGGTGTGGCCTGCTTTGTGGGAGTGGCTTGCAGGCCATGNGCGCCCTTCGCCGTTCCCGGAAGTTACTTACTTCCGGGTTCGCCAACCAACCGGTTCGCAGGGACCGCCGCGAACCGGTTGAAACCCACCCCTGGTCCCCGGGGATCACAGAGGCAATAAAAACTGAGAGAAATGTGTGTTTTTTAATCTCAGGACTCATAGCATCCTATGAGACACACACACTGAGAATAATTATATGTCCATATCAACTCCTCTATTGAGCGTAACCAGTCAGCAATTAGTGTATCGAAGCAGAGTATAAAAACAGGAATCATTACTCCCTTTTCCACATTCTCTCCTTCTGCAAAGCTTTGTCTGTTTTCCAAAGACTCCTTTGAAATCCAGACTTTTGGGAATATTTGAGAGAGAGAGAGAGACGCTTGCAACCCAAAATACTGTCTTAATTCCATGCTCTACTTTGTGCCTGCAAAACCGAAATGCTGCAACATCCTGGAGCTGGAGAAGAGCCTGCTTTTCATTGTATTGCACCTCCCTAACACAAGCCCTTTATTCCTGTGTTGCGCCTGGCACTACCACACTGCCTCCAAAAGGCCCTGGCACTTGCCTTTACTGATTCACTCCATAGCAAGCCCAGGGGTTAGTACTAGGCCATTGGTGCTGGCTGCAAAAAATGCCAAGTCATGATATCTCAGCATGCAACCACCCACACTGCGGGCTCTTAGCCCAGCTCCATCACACCCTCAGCTGTCAGTTGCCTGCCAGGCTGCTAAGCAAGAGAACGTGCAAATTCTAGGGAATAAAGGCAGAGGCAGAATAAAGGCGAGCCAGGCCTCTATTGTGTCAGCAGTAACCAGGGCACCTGAGGCCAGTTCCAAGGTGGATCAAAGGCAGGAACTCACCACTGTCACCCGGGGAGAGGCAACAGTTCAGAACATAGAAAGGGAACCTTACTAAGTCTGTTCTGGTGCCCCAATTGCTGTCCACAGAAAGTTGTCTGTCTGGTTTCTGGAAGCCTACCTTTTTTCTGCAAAGCTCTTGGATCACACCTTTAACCCTCATCCCACAACTAGGATACAGCCCGAGCAAGGGCACCTGGATTGGGTTACATTCATATAATGTCTGGCATGTCTATCCTCTGTAATTTATATTCATTCTATTATTAAAAAGCTAAGCCTCTAGGTTGGGAAAGGGGTATATATTTCTTTTGTATTATGAAATTCTTCATTTAATGAAAAGCTATCAGTGGGAAGTGTACTATATATTTACACCATTGCTTGGGGGATTAGCAGAGTAGAAGAAATGGAGGATTGCCCTTACAAGAAATGAAGCCATTGAAATATTTTTGTGGTCTCAGGATTGGAAGAGGAACCCCAAAGGTTCCACGTTAGTCTTGCATTTGCATTATCACCCACTACTGTAATAAAACCTAGATGACAGAGTTTATTCCAGAGTTATCTGCTACCATTTATTCCCCATACAAAGTTTAAAAATGTAGAGCATAAAACTGATAGTGTACAATATTGGTTCTAAGTGGTTGTATGTAGAATTAAAATCATTATATGGCTAAGTTAAAGTTCTGTTTAAAATATTAAACACACAAATTCTTGATGGTTTTATTTATGATCTTTAAATACCATTCTTCTTACTATTTATCACAGGGAGATAGTAGGAGTTAGTAATTCTTCCCAACAGGACAGAACGTAGTGAGTATGAGGTCCAGTAATACCAGTTTTATGTGTGTTGTACCACTGATAGTCCGTTTATACACTCGTTGTCACAATAGAAAACANATGCCATTATAAAGTTCAACTAAAGCACAGGACCATTTTAGACATACTGTGCAGGTTTCCAAACCACAAGGTTCAGATGCAATCCAAAGGATATTAAACACAGGCGGTATTTGGCAGGGAAGAATTTCAGGAAGAGCCACTTTTGTGGAATGCCGTGTAACACTCAGAAGAATCACGTTGGTTGTCATGATCATTGGGTGCCTACTTTACAAGAGAGACCCAGTTGAATGGAAAAGCAAAGTTTTTTTTATAGAAGGGCTAGAAATCCTAAGGATTTCATTAGCTGGCCAGTTTGAGGAAACTAGGCAGATCCTTATCAGTCTACCTGGGGTTATTCTATTGTTAGGCAAAATGGACCTCTCAGGAGGCAGCAGAAGTGAGGAAGCCCATTGTTAAAGATGATGGCTGTTGAGGTCATGAGCTGATGGAGAATGAAAGATTGCAATTCTTTTGTAAGGGATTTTTTTGAGGCTTCTATTCTCTGGTTTGATTGGATTTCAGGCGCTTTGTCTGGGGCAGAAAGGGTCAATTTGGGCCTGATGGGATTAGGCAAAGAATGGAATTTGTGCTTGACACCACCTCACTCTCATATCTAAAAAGTGGGGGTTAGGGGGAAGTAATGGATGCAGTCTCCATTATGTTTGATGGGTTTCTTTTTTCTACCACAGCTAGCAAAGTTTGTGCATTATAGAGAGATCCAATTGAATAACTAAAGTGCTTAGGGATAGAATAAAGCCACACTCACCTTCAACAGTGATGTAAGTGCATACACAAGGCTTACACAATGTTTTATCTTCAGGATACTTTTGGCTTTACTTAATAGCTCCATCTCTCCTTCTTTGGTATTATGATTACCTTCTCCATCAAAGTAGCATGATTTTTAACCCTAGCCCCAAATCTGGAACTTGCTATGTTTGTTGAATTACAGCTATAAATCATCACACCATACATGGCTGGGCAAGATGGGAATTGTAGTGCAATAGAGCGCCAGTTTGGGGGTTGTAACATAATACTTAAATTCTGAGCATGTGCAACATATTTTTCTTTTGCATGCGCAACTTCATCTTCTCTTTACAAAATTGAAGAGGTTCTCTAAGGTTTATGGCAGGATTATTATATGTTTCTCTCCCCAGCTTACATTAAATGTGTTGTTCGGGATCTGTAACAGTTTACATTTTTGTGTATTTTCTAGCAATATCCTCGTAGCATCTCCAAACTCTAATTACTACTCTTTTTTAATCCTGTTCAGATTTAGTTCCTCATTGAGAAGAATAATCTAGCCTTGGCTAATATATAAATAAATAAAATGCCAACTACAACATTTGAAAAATATTATGAAAAGACTCACAGTACATTCTTAAGAATTTCGCTTGGTGAGAGAAATAGTTATTCTTATTGGAATTGCTCCTGAATGGTATTGCACAGCCTGGCAAGCTAAGACACTTAGAATACGGATTTTGAATGAAGAGGAAAAGTGATTAAAAGTAATTAAAACAATCTAACACACTAGAAATGAGCCATAACTGCAGGTATCCGAACTGTAGTATAATACCAATTAGTGTTTGAGGGGAAAGGGGTGAGGAAGAGGGATGTTTCCTCTTAAAACACTTTTTTTCTGAGTGTGTCTTTTTTAAATTAATGACTATATTTCATTTCAACCTTTCGTCTAGTGAGAAAATTTTATTTTTTGTAAGTTGGGTATTCTGTTCCCTTCCCACTCCTTTTTTTTTACTTTTTGTGTTGCTTTCCCAAAAAATAAACAGAAGAAGAAAAAAAGAAAAGATTGTCCTCTGCTGGAACATGTCTGTGCACTATAAACACATAACATTTCGTATTTATAATTTAAAAGACCGAGAAGCACATTCACCTTTATAGGAAGATTGGGCTGATTTTTACAGCATCTCACTCATCAAACCCAAAGTATGTTTGGATTAATTACCTGGCCCTTAAACACCCTTCCAGCAACAAGGGCTGTTGATCACACTTCACACTTGTGCTGAGTTCTACAACCACACTGTCTTTACAAATATCCTTATAAATGGCAGAAAGGCAAGATGCTATGTACTAATGAGCAGTTTGGTTGTTTTAGCTATGACTAATTTGAGGCCCATTTAAGTCAGCAGGCACAAAGTCTGCATCACACACCCCTCCTTCCATTTCTGGAAGAGCGATGCTAAACCTGAGGCCAGGTGTGTACAAGCAGGACAAAGAAGGATCAATATATTAGAGGACTGTGATTTTGGATGGACAGGATGGACAAATTAATTCAAAGGAATTGTTTTTCCAGTGCAGTCCTTTTATAGCAGGGGATGTACGACCAATTACAAAACTGTAATCAAAGCAGAATCTCTGTGACAAATCCCCACTTTCCCCCCTATAAAATGGAGAGAATTACTTATATTTCTGGCACCCACACGGCAGGATTGAGTGAGCAGGAAAATGCCCATGTCGCTAAACTATAGCATAACATCATAAACTTAAAACTTCTTGGATTTATAATTACAACAGACATGCTCCCTGAAATCCTGCTCAGCCCAGAGGAAAGAAACTCACCGAAGCTCCAAAGATGATGAAGATGTGGGTATCCGATTTGTGGAAGTCATTCCCCTGGCTGAGCTCTTCACGGAACATCCCACAGATGTCAGCTTCAGAAAGCTCGGGGAGTGGCAGGCGGCGACTCATGTTGGCAGTATTGTTTCCTGAGGAAAAAAAAAAGGGGGGGCATGGACAGGTAAAACTCCTCCCACCTTCATGCCCGCCCCATCCGAAAAGTGTTATACCCAGGTGAACAACCCTCTCCATTCCTCAGTGGCGGTTGAATGCCAGGCCAGCTAGGCTGATCTCCAAGCCACAAGTCTCAACTTGCAGTAGGAAGTTCAGCTTAGCTCCGTCCACCACCGCAATTTCTGGCAAGGATGCATTGTGCAAGGGGTTTGTCCACTGGTTCCCATGTACATACATACCTTGGCCTGAGCTCCTGCTGCTTGCCAGGCTGATCCAAGGAAATTAAAAACAAAAGGCTAATTGTATAAACGGAGTGAC